ACATATTGTAAAATCAGTATGTATTTTTTTTCTTAAATTCCTGACAAGAACTTGGGGATTGGGTTGAATTAACTATGACTTCACAGAAAGTACAGTTACTTAACCTTTTTGGTAGGGCTAATCTAGATAGTAATTTGCTTTATTCGAACCAACAGTGAAGAACAGCTTGTAGATGTTAACTTCAAAGGTATGTAAATTAGGGAGGATGTCAAGAGCTTTATGCAATATTCCATGTAGAGCTGCTAAACTTGTATCTAAACTTGGTTTAAATACTCCAGAATGCAGAGAATATCCTAAATGTTATTACCCTGCAAGGCATTGGATGTGGAAAAGGAAAGGAGTTTAAAGAAATTGGAGTAGAACTGTTGGTAACAATGCCTGGTTCAGTAGAAGTTAATTCTTACTGAATAAAATACCATGGTTTCTGTATGTGTCTGACCTGGTTTTACATGAACTCTTTGCACAGTGTAGTGTATTACTGAAGTGGTGGGTTTGGCAACTAGTGTAGTCATTCTTCTGACTGCCTTTACTGTGGAAGTCAGATCTGATGTGTAAAAATACTTAAATTCAGCCACTCACATGGCACACAAACTCTTCTAGGTATTCACATGGCCATGGTGTTGAACTACTATAACTTCTGTAAAGGTTTTGTTTTATAGAATTGCCTCTGACTTAAGTTTACTGTAATGGTTTAAAACATGATAATTTACCATTTGAGAATGAGTTGAGAGGTACCAGTTAGTTGCAGAATCATAGGATCAGAGTGGTTTGGGTTGGAAGGGACCTTAAAGGTCACCTAGTTCCACCCCGCCTGCCATGGGCAGGGACACCTTGCACTAGACCAGGTTGCTCAAAGCGCCATCCAACCTGGCCTTGAACACTGCCAGGGAGGGGGCAGCTGCAACTTCTCTGTGCACCCTGTTGTAGTGCCTCATCACCCTCAGAGTAAAGAATTTCTTTCTTCCATCTAGTCTAAACCTACCGTACTTCAGTTTAAAGCCATTACCCCTTGTCTTATCACTCCATGTCCTTGTCAAAAGTCCCTGTCCAGCTTTCTTGCAGGCACCCTCCAGGTACTGGAAGGCTGCTATAAGGTCTCCCTGGAGCCTTCTCTTCCCCAGGTTGAACAACCCCAGCTCTTTCAGCCTTTCCTCATAGCAGAGGTGCTCCAGCCCTCTGATCATTTTTGTGGCCCTGCTCTGGACCCATTCCATCAGCTCCATGTCTTTCCTGTGCTGGCAGCTCCAGAGCTGGACACAGGACTCCAGATGGGGTCTCACCAGGGCAGAGTAGAAGGGCAGAGTCACCTCCTTCAGCCTGCTGGCCACGCTGCTTATGGTGCAGCCCAGGATACGGTTGGCCTTCTGGGCTGCAAGTGCACACTGTATACATCAATTCAAGAGCCTCAATTGAATTAAATGAGACAACCGAAGAAAAAGTTTGGTTGACAAGTGTAGCTGATTGTCAGTAGCTGTTGAGAGTAGTCCTTTGCTACTATACTGTCTCAGATCAGAAACTTAGAAAACTAGACATAAATATGAATTACAGGAAATTATCTGGAAATAATTTTCACAAAGGAGAAGATTTATGGTTTTATAATATGATAAAAGATGCTATGTAAAACAATTTCAAGATATAGATTAGCTACATATTCAGTAACTGAACACAAGCATCTTAAATTAAAAAAAAAAAAGCTTAGTGTCAGTAGCCTGAGCTGTTGTCTTAAAATTGAATTAAGTTACTGAAGCAACAACATTTAAATAGTACCAGTGTTTGACTGATGGAGTGGTAAATGGTAGTCTTATTTCACACAGTTTGTAGATGGTCTCTTGAAATTGAGCATCTCTTCCTTTATTGCCTTAGAAGAAACAGGGATTAGTCCCATTATCACAGAATCATAGGTTGGAAAAGATCTCTAAGATCAAGTCCAACCATCCACTCAACACCACCATTCCTCCTAAACCATATCCTGAAGTGCCACATATACATGTTTTTTGAGCACCTCCAGGGATGGTGACTCCACCACTTCCCATGGCAGCCTGTTCCAAGGCCTTCACAACTCTTTCAGTAAAGAAAATTTTTCCTAATATCCAATCTAAACCTCCCCTGATGCAACTTGAGGCCATTGCCTCTCATCCTGTTGCTAGTTACCTGGGAGAAGAGACCAACACCTGCCTCACTACAGCCTTCTTTCAGGTAGTTGTAGAGAGCAATAAGGTCTCCCCTCAGCCTCCTCTTCTCCAGATCAAACAGCCCCAGCTCCCTCAGCTGCTCCTCATAAGACTTGTGCTCTAGACCCCTCACCAGCCTCGTTGCCCTTCTCTGGACATGCTATCTAATGAGCTATGGGTGTACCTCACATGACTAAGGTAAGCTGCAGATAATATAGTGAAACTTTGTAGTGAGGTTGTTTTCTGTGCTTGTGGCAACCTCTGTGGGCTGGTTATTCTGAGCTTTGATTAATGATATGTGTAACTTGCCTAATTTACTGGCACAGTGCAGTGAGGATTTATGACTAGCCTTAAAAAAAAACCAAACAAATTTTAGAGTAGAGCCTTGCTTTCTGAAAGTGTTAACAATATTGAAGCAGTTTGAATATTGCTCTAGAGCTACATTTCAGAGTTTGAAGCTTTAAGGTGTCTTAAAGTCCTGAACTTTATGTTCTTGGCAAATATGACAAAGTTTATGGACTAACCAAGGACTTGTTCCAGTTTTTGTACTGCTATACTAACTAAACAGTAGATATTTCTAACACCTTGAAATATCTTCCAAAGAATGATTTTTTTTTTTTTTTTTAGAAATAGGTTCTAGATGTTGATACTTTATTTGGCTTCTACAACTTCAGTAAAAATACTGAGGTGGATTTCTTTGAAGCACACAGATACTGTAAGGAGTGTGCTAGCCAAGATAAGAGGACACAAACTTAAGTTAGGTATGATTATATTGGGTAGTGGTGGGAAGGCACTAATTACTCATGCAAAATGAGGCAAAGATTAAAAATAGCCAAAGATCACAGTATGTGTGGGGTCCTGGATATCTCTGCTTACCCACTCAAAGGGGTGATTTTGTGCTTGCGCAAGAAGTCTTGGTTGTGTGGTACTTCAAACCTTTTGAGGGCTAGGTGAACTATCTAGGATACCTTTCTTATGGGATGCAAATACTGTAACATACTGCTTGACCATTTTTAATTTCCTACTAGATTTCTGAAACGTTCATAGTATAAGATATTTTGAAGAATTGAAGGATTTTGCTAAACAATGATGTCCTAAAAAGTATGTAATTTTTTATGGTACATAGAGCTGAAGATTTAAGCTTAAAATTCTTGGTCTGAAATTGGTCTCCTCACTTCATACCGCTGGCTAATCAGTCCAATTGATAATGACTAGCTTTCTTAATGTCTTCCAACTTGCCAGTCAGTATTTGAAGATTAATGTCTTAGTCTAATGCAAGTGAAGGGTTAAACTAGCTGGTTTAATGTATCTTAAGACCACTTGTGTGTCAAAGTAATATGATAGTATGACTGTTTGATTTAGTGGCTACTCACCTAAATGTCTGCTTCAATCTCCAGTTAGTTCCTCCCTTTAAAAAAAGGGGTGTTAAACAATGATACTATATTGCTACTTCTTGTTCTGTTTTGTGAATTGAGGTCATCAGTAGCACAACGGTGCCTTCCATCTATAATGTACTTACATTAATAGTAGAATGTCCCCTGAAAGGAGTTCAGTGATCAAAATAGCTTTAAATTTGTTATATTTTTGTATATACCTTTTCTATGAACAACTTCTGTTATTAGGTGGCATAGCTTGCTTTTGGTCACTATCCTCTTTGCGACCTCTTCCCCAGTGAGCTAGTCCTGTGTATCACCTGGGTGCAGATGGTTACTTTTAGTCTCTTTATTGTTGCTGAATTGAAGGTGGATATGAAATGCTTTGTCTGAAAGAGTTATTTCTAGAAATCCTTTGGAATTCACAAAATGGTAATAGATCATATGCTGGTTAGTAAATTTTAGTAAGTTTTCAATGCTTGAAATTAGTAAAATCTAGAATGAGGGGAAACTATTGTTTGATTCTTTCCATTGATTTACTATGAGTAAATGAAGTGCCAATGTAAGTTTGTCTTGTCACTTAATTAAATTCTTTCTCCTAGCTTTGTACTCCATCATACTGTTCTGTGTCTTTCTGTGGATTCCCTTTGTCTATTTCTATTATGAGGAGAAGGAAGAAGATGATGGCAAGACATGCTCAGTAAGTTCACTCTAGCAAATACACCAAGCAGTGAAAAGACAAATGAATAGACAGAAATGAAAGCAAGAATGATTGCCTAACTTGAATACTATGTTAATCGCATTTCTAGATCTTTTACCACAGTTTGTTTAAAATACTGTGGTAGCTCTTAATAACAGTTACCTAGTCTACTCTAAGTGCTGTTATGTCGCATGAAATGAAGCTTTAGTGAGAAGTAATGAACATCTGTGTTGCCATGAATTCTTTAAGCTTGCTACAAATTCTTTGAGCCTGATTTCATATACAGGAAGTTAAAAGTTCTTATATGAGATTTTCCTTAGAATAGAAAACATGTATGAACAGGTTTTGAAGTAGAAGACAGGAAGATTATACTGACTGTGACTCTGAGATAGACACTAAATTTGAGTATTTTCTTTCTGGTAATGTTTGCATTTTTTCTTGAGGTAGGCAGTAGTAACTTACCTGAAGCTAGCCCTTGGTTATTTTTATAATACACTGAAGATTTTTGACATGCACGGCATTCCGGGGAGTACAATAAATGCATGCCACTAAGGCAGTAACTTATTAATTGAAAATACTTTTCTTAAAGGATCTTTTCATCATGGTCACTTCCCCCTCCATTCAGTTGTAGCCTTAGCATGAGAAAAAAGACTTCTAATCATAGCTGTAATGTAAAGCATTGCTAATAAGAATTTTGAGTGTATTTGCACTGAATGAATGTACCCTGGCTTCTGGCCACAGCTGCCCAAGTGCATAGTTTATGATGGAAGCATAATTCAATGCCATTGTTCATAGTTCTGAAGCTATGAAACTCTTCAAGAATATATACTTCTGACTTGTGTCTAAAACTCTTTTCTGTGGAGGTCCTTTTGTAGAACAATTGTTATGCTAAGTATGCTTTGCCATAACTTGTTGGACAAACCCCTTTGGATTTATTTTATGCTAATATATTAACTTTCTTTTTAATATACAGCAGGTTAAAACTGCACTGAAATATACTCTGGGATTCATCACAGTTTGTGCAGTTCTTCTCTTAATTGGGTAAGTACATGTATTGAACGTTAACAAGGGATATGCAAAGTAGAACCCCAAAGAGAACTTTGTTCTGTGCAAGATTAAAAGGGTAGATTATGATGCACTTAATCTGTATAGTGAATATCTAGCTTAATCTCTAAGAGGGTTTAAATATACTGAGAGTTGGGTACCTGAAAAGTAAGAGTTTAACTGGAAGCTAAAACAGTTTTCTCAATTGTGGAAGTACTTGTGCTTCCAAGTTCTGCCTCTTTGCAGTGTGAACGTCCATCAAGGCTATGATGGCTATGATACAGCTGTATTGATATCTCAGGTGTACAACAGAGAGTAAAGTATTTGTACTCCTGTTTTCTGCCTCTATGAAAAGTTTTCATGGACATCCCACACAGCTTTTAGGAATATGAGTAGGTGTTATGTGCTTGGTACTTTCCTAAGTTCTGTGAAGGAATAAGGTTCTGTGAAACACATAAGCATATTGTGGGGTTACATTTGATAGAGTTGTGCCTTATATGATAAAGGTTTTGCTGGCATTTGTTTGAAGGCAGACATTACTGAAGTGGGTAACTTGTTTGGAGCAAGTGCTGTTACTGTGACACTCCAAGCAGTATTACAGATTCAATTTAAGATCATGAAGCATGACATACACACTGATATTGAATGTTTATAATGTATGCTATGTCATAAGCTCTTTAGCAATTTGACTGCAGGAATAAAGCTGGTAGAATTTACAAAATGTATGCTGCAATGATCCATACTGAAGTACTGGAGTGTGAAGTAGAAACAAGAGTGAAATTAATGCTTCTAATTGTATACCACGTTATTGGAGTATTGTTCTAGTTTTGATTAACACTTAAGGTGTATTTCCAAGAAGTCTGTCCTTTCAGGTAAAAATAAATACCTGCTATTGTGAGAGACTAAAGGAGTTTGAGATAGCTTAATCGTGGTCTAGAAGTATTACTAAAGCTTCTGACTGTCCTGGGTTTGGCCAGGACAGGGTTAATTTTCACCGGACTCCAGGAAGGGGCACAGCCGGGGGGGTGGGGACTGACCCCACCTGGCCAGACAGAGCCCGGTATTCCGCCCTTGGTTATTTTTATAATACACTGAAGATTTTTGACATGCACGGCATTCCGGGGAGTACAATAAATGCATGCCACTAAGGCAGTAACTTATTAATTGAAAATACTTTTCTTAAAGGATCTTTTCATCATGGTCACTTCCCCCTCCATTCAGTTGTAGCCTTAGCATGAGAAAAAAGACTTCTAATCATAGCTGTAATGTAAAGCATTGCTAATAAGAATTTTGAGTGTATTTGCACTGAATGAATGTACCCTGGCTTCTGGCCACAGCTGCCCAAGTGCATAGTTTATGATGGAAGCATAATTCAATGCCATTGTTCATAGTTCTGAAGCTATGAAACTCTTCAAGAATATATACTTCTGACTTGTGTCTAAAACTCTTTTCTGTGGAGGTCCTTTTGTAGAACAATTGTTATGCTAAGTATGCTTTGCCATAACTTGTTGGACAAACCCCTTTGGATTTATTTTATGCTAATATATTAACTTTCTTTTTAATATACAGCAGGTTAAAACTGCACTGAAATATACTCTGGGATTCATCACAGTTTGTGCAGTTCTTCTCTTAATTGGGTAAGTACATGTATTGAACGTTAACAAGGGATATGCAAAGTAGAACCCCAAAGAGAACTTTGTTCTGTGCAAGATTAAAAGGGTAGATTATGATGCACTTAATCTGTATAGTGAATATCTAGCTTAATCTCTAAGAGGGTTTAAATATACTGAGAGTTGGGTACCTGAAAAGTAAGAGTTTAACTGGAAGCTAAAACAGTTTTCTCAATTGTGGAAGTACTTGTGCTTCCAAGTTCTGCCTCTTTGCAGTGTGAACGTCCATCAAGGCTATGATGGCTATGATACAGCTGTATTGATATCTCAGGTGTACAACAGAGAGTAAAGTATTTGTACTCCTGTTTTCTGCCTCTATGAAAAGTTTTCATGGACATCCCACACAGCTTTTAGGAATATGAGTAGGTGTTATGTGCTTGGTACTTTCCTAAGTTCTGTGAAGGAATAAGGTTCTGTGAAACACATAAGCATATTGTGGGGTTACATTTGATAGAGTTGTGCCTTATATGATAAAGGTTTTGCTGGCATTTGTTTGAAGGCAGACATTACTGAAGTGGGTAACTTGTTTGGAGCAAGTGCTGTTACTGTGACACTCCAAGCAGTATTACAGATTCAATTTAAGATCATGAAGCATGACATACACACTGATATTGAATGTTTATAATGTATGCTATGTCATAAGCTCTTTAGCAATTTGACTGCAGGAATAAAGCTGGTAGAATTTACAAAATGTATGCTGCAATGATCCATACTGAAGTACTGGAGTGTGAAGTAGAAACAAGAGTGAAATTAATGCTTCTAATTGTATACCACGTTATTGGAGTATTGTTCTAGTTTTGATTAACACTTAAGGTGTATTTCCAAGAAGTCTGTCCTTTCAGGTAAAAATAAATACCTGCTATTGTGAGAGACTAAAGGAGTTTGAGATAGCTTAATCGTGGTCTAGAAGTATTACTAAAGCTTCTGACTGTCCTGGGTTTGGCCAGGACAGGGTTAATTTTCACCGGACTCCAGGAAGGGGCACAGCCGGGGGGGTGGGGACTGACCCCACCTGGCCAGACAGAGCCCGGTATTCCATACCATGTGACATCACGCTGGGTTCCGGTGGGGGGGGGAGGGCGGCGGGGG